TACCTCAGATATCATGTTATATTAGTTGTGAGGGACCCTGAGGTAAGGCTCTGGCCCACAGTTTCCTTATGTATAAAACAGGGATAATAACAACACCTTCTTCCCAGGGTTACTGTAAAGATCAAATGGGATAGGCATGTCTTTGGAAACTATAAAACGCCATATAAAGGTAAGCTATTATTATCTCCATTTCACAGATGAGAAAACTGAGGCTCAGAAAGATTACAAAGGCATGTAACAAACACAAATTACCTCCCACTGTACCTGTACCCCAGCCATGTATGACTTACTCACATTCACACAGCTAATAAGGTTGGAGTTGGAACCTGAAACCAGGTCTCCCGACTCCAAATTCAGGATTTGTTTCACTGTACTACTAAGGGATAGTGATTCTTCCCATATGGCTTTAGGGCACAATATTTAGTGAACTAGAAAATGGCCAACAGTCTTTCTGTGTATCTTCAGAACTTGATTAAACTAGGGTTTCCCCCACCCCATTCGATAGCTTCACAGATTCTTGTCCATAGAGTTCTAAGGCTATTAGACACATAACCTGTTTGATAATCATATCACTTGTAAACCAAGCATCAGCGATCTCCATAAAGAATAAACTGTTAAGAAGGGGTAGTTTCTACGATTTTCCTATTCTAATTGCTCATATGAATTTAGTCTACTCAGAAGCCAAAGCTGGGAGCTGGACTTCGCCAGGGGTGTGCTGGAGTTACCTCTTACATGCTCCTGGGAGCCAACTGTTAAATTTCCACTGTGAGCATTTAAATCTTGGAAAGTGGCAAATGCTGCAAATCGGGACTTGATTTGTTATTCTGTCTGTCATCTAGAGGAGGCAACCAGGTGGCTCAGTGGCTAGAGCACTGGAGTCAGGAAGACCTGAATTCACATTGGGCCTCAGATCCTCACTAGCTGTGTGACCCTGGACAAATCACTTGACCTCTGTTTAACTTAATCCACTGGAGAAGGAAATGGCAAATCACTCCAGTATCCTTGCCAAGAAAACCCCATACAGAGCCACGAAGAGTCAGACATGACTTAATAACAACAGTCTAGACTTAAGTGACATTTCTCCACCCACCCCCCACCCTCCCAAAGAGCTGGCTATTAAACATTTATCAGCACACCACTGATCTTATCATGGTGCTTGACACACAGTAGGTGCTTAACAAATACTTACTGACATCAGAGCTAACAAATGGCTAACCAACCTTTACTCAATGACCTGCAGTGAGAGGGAACCTGTGACTTCCAGGGCACCTCATTCTATTGTCAAACTCCTTTAATTACTATTAAGTATTTCTCCGACCCTACATTTTCATCTTTTCATCATCTACCCACTGCTTTTAGTTCTGCCCCGTGGGGCTATACAGAACAAACCTAAACATTCTTTCATGTTATAGCTATTTGAATATTTCAAGAGACCTCAGTTTCCTCATCTGTCATAGGATCAGGGATTTCTGGAAAGGAAAGGTTAATTTTACAGAAGTGGAACTGATACCTAAAGAGGGTGACCTGTTCAAAGAAATACAGACACCAAGTGACGGAGCAAAGATTGGAACCCAAGTCATAGGCCAGGTATCCAGAGTTGGAAAGGACCTCAGATGCCATTTGGTCGAACTCTCCCTCATTCCACATATGAGGAAACTGAGGACCAGAGGAGTTAAGTTCAAGGTAGCACAAGTAGCAAGCCTCAAAGGCAGAACCTGAAACCAGGTTCTAGGACTTCATGTTGCACCCTTCTCCCTCCCTAGAAGATAAGATGTTGGACTAGACAGCATAGGGTCACTTCCAACTCCAGACCTGTCACCATTGTTATTGTTCATCCTTCATTTCTGAAA